AAAAAAAAAAATGAGCTTGCGAAATTATGGCAATCACTCAGTTAAAGCCTAAAATGACAAAAGAACTGAAAAAGAGGAGCAATATATTCCGGCCACAAAAATACAAAGGCTCCATCGTGTCCCACATCACCTAGTTAACCTAGGATTAGAAATTTCTAATAACACCAAACAAAGGACTCATAATAGCTATTAGCAACTAGCTAGCACCATAGACACACACCTCCAGTTTCTCCATGCCAGTCATTCAATAAGTGAACCACACAAAAGGTTAAAAGTTGAAACAACTCTACAAGGTATATATTGTTTTTTAAAAAAAAATTATATCTTGAGTATGATCTGAACTACCTCACTCATTATTTGCCACTTACAAATAACAAGGTTTCAATATGATTGGTTGTCGGTATAGTGATCTAAACTATAAAATTCCATACCTTGAATCGACGGTTCCGAATAGTGTCAAACGGGCAGCCTGTATGTATTTTAAAACCGAAATTCAACATTTTGAACAGAGAACACATGAAAGAATAACTACTTTCATTCGAACACGGAAATACAAATAGAACAATACCAAATCGACAACACCAACATTATGAAATCTTTCACCTAGGAACTTCATAAGTTTAATTTCAAATACGTTTGTTAATCAAAATACCAAGGCATTACCCAACATACACACAAATCCCAACACTTGTTTTCCTCCTAATATAATATCTATCTACAGACAAGCTCCATTAACAACTAATGAACAAGAGATACGAATAATAAATCAAGAACCTTTAACACAACCCTTACCGTAACAATTCCGAGCGAGCCTGACACAGTCGAGCCAGTGAAGAACCTGGGCATTGGGGTCCACCTCGACGACCACATCGGAGACCGTGATCTGAACCAGTCCCCGGAATACGGTGATCCTACCCCGTACCCTGGCTACAGCACCCACTTGAACTCGAGCGGCGAATTTTGAGGCGGTTCGGGCAATCGATCGAACACCTGGCGGGCTGCGCCTGGAGAAGTAAGAGGACGTGAGCTGGTTGAGCCAGAGGACGCAGGGGATGCAGCCGGTGCCGTCGTCGACGGCGAACCGGAGGAATTTTCCGGGTTTGAGCTCCCGGGTCACGACGTACCCTACTGTTTCGGCCCGCGAAAGCGTTTTGCCGTTGATGGAGAACGAGGGCGATGGGTCTGTGGGTTTTGGGGTGAGCGCGAGGAAATCGGAGGCCAGGAGCTTGACGTGGGTGTTGTACAGGGCGTCCGCCATTGATAATGTTGAGCGAGGATTAAAAAAAAGGAATCTTGATTTCCTCTTTCTTTTCTCGCGAGAAGGATTTTTATTTTTGAGGGGAAAAAGGTCAGTTTATGCACAAGTTATTTGGCGGGAAAAATAGATGTTCAGACAATAAATTGAATTATTTCTCCGTAGAAAATTATTTTCCCAAAATCCCATTTGATTTGTAGCTATTGCCAAGCTTGAGCCAGCCTTTACCGAGCTCGGCTCGATTAGCAATGGCGAGAATTAGAGGTGTAAACAAATCGAATCAAATTTGGACTCGAGCTGTTATCGAGCCAAACCAAACTAGAGAGCAGCTCATTTTATTTAACTATCATTAGAATATAACAGCATGGGAGTTTTTTGTTTTTTTAAAATAAATAAATTAGGTGTAAATTGTTTATTCTATGTATTTGCAATGGCATATTCCTGATATTAATAATGTAAAGAACTATGTGAACAATTTAACTTTGTAGTTTAAATGCGACTAAAAACGTCCAAAGTTTATTTGATCAATATATACAGATTTAAAAACCTTCACAAAGCAGCAGCAGCATTTTACAAGACTGGTAACAATATAGGGTAATCACAAATCCAGCATAAATTACAGAAATAATGTCGAAAAAAGCATATACCGTGCTCGTGAACAAGCATCAATGGAAATTGAGAGTTCGGAATAAAAAACCGAGGTTTGGCCACTGAAATAGTACTAGACCTCAACAACTTCAATAACAACAATTAATATGTTCACAATAAAGTACACTGTGGATGAGCTTTGCCTTTTAGTCCCCCCCATAATAACACTGCAAGTATCGATAATGTTACAAATACTTCAGCGTATGATTCCCCAGACTCCTGCACAGGGAAAAAAAAAAAAGCGAAAACCATGTTTATAATTCTTGTGAATATTGACTTTATCACAGCTAATATTTGGACAACTAAGAATCATATGTCATATGGACTGACGTTTGATATTATTCATTGAAGTCTTACCTTGGTGCAGGATAGATTATCTTTAATCACTAGATAAAAGATAATTAACCAATCATTGTGCGCTTCCTTCCTCGTTGTCGAACTAAAATACGCCCGAAAAAAGAAAAGGAAAAAAAAATAGAATGATGTGAGAATGAAAAATTAGCACATCTAACAAGTGTTTTTTTTTTACAAATATGAAAAGAAAGGGTACCTTGTGCTAGCTTATTCAAGGTTGAGGACCATTGTTTTGATGATTTTCTATAAGCTTTAAGAATTTTGTCCATCTACAGCAGTTGACAAAACATAACATTAGATTTTTTGGATTATTGCACAATATTACCGGAAAACACACAGTACATTTTCCCATCTGACGGCACTTTTATCCTCTCAGTTATAAAGTACACACGGATTAGCAAGAAAAAAATTGACAATTGACGCTGCAATTTGTGAAAATTGGCACAGTATGTATAGAATAAAATCGCCTGGAGAATAAAAAGAAATAGGAGGAAATTGCAAATTTGGTCCCGTTAGATTGAGACGGTTTTACTTTTAGTTCCAAGAGGCACATTTTCAGTCCTTAACTAATGTTTGTTTCGCATTTGGTCCCAAATTCAGTCCTTAATTAATTTTTGTTCCGTGGACTAAAATTGCGACCGTGGGACTAAAATTGGACCTTCTCAATTTAACGGGACCAAATTTGTAGTAGTTGATATTATTTTCATTTTTGTTTTTATTTTTTAAAATTTTATTAAACTCTATAGTTATATTTTATTTTTTATCAACCATTATAATTATAATAAAATTAAATGATGATTTTTTAAATATATGCAATACTTAATTAAAATATTTGAAATATAGAAAGCATTGTATTGCAATTAAATTTTTTAATACATTAATGATAATATGAATTTAAATTTATTTGAATTTATATATATATATATCAAATATATTTAAGTTTATATTTTTGTTATATTAAAAATTATATAAATATTTATTAACGTAGTTAAATATATATATACACACACACACACACACACACACACAATAGATCAGTCCGATCAACCAATTCTGACTGGTTCATTGGAAACCAGTTTGTTAAAAGGAATCCAACTTTTTGACCGATTCTAGATTCAACAGTCAGTTTAACCCAATTTTAAAAATAATAGTAGTTGATATTATTTTTATTTTTATTTTTATTTTTATTTTACGTTTTAAATTTTTATTAACCTCTACAATTGTATTTTTTTTATCAACCAATATATCTATAATTAAATTAAAATTTATTAGTAAATATATTTATTATTTAATTAAAAATATTTTAAATAAAAAAATAATAATAATACAAATTTAAATATATTTAAATTTATATATATCAAATATATTTAAATTTATATTTTTGTTATATTAAAAAATATAAATATTTATTAACTTGTCAAAAAATATATATTATTGCCAGTCCATTCAACTAATTCTAATCGGTTCATGTTTGGCTGAGTTTTCAAACCAATAATATTTTATATTACTTTTATTTTTATTTTTATTTAAAAATTTTGTTAACCCCTACAGTTCTATATTTCTAATAAAATCAAATAATAATTTTTAAATATGTTTATTATTTAGTAAAAGTTAATTTTAAATATAGAAAACATTGTATAGTTATTATTTTTATTTTTCTTTTTGGTCTCGGAACTAAATTTTTACTATCACTGATTGTTTTATACTCACGGGATAAAAAATTGCAATAAAAAAAGTAATAAAACTGAGGAAATTGCAAATTTCGTCTCGTTAGATTGGGACGGTCCAATTTTAGTCTCATGGTCGCAATTTTAGTCCTGAGGGTTAACGGTGACTTCACGGTCCGTTGAATTTGGGACCAAATGCGGAACAAACATTGGTTAAGGACTAAAAATGTGCCTCTTGGGACTAAAAATGAAACCGTCCCAATCTAACGGGACCAAATTTGCAATTTCCTCAAAGAAATAGTCACTTCCTGTTTTGAGATTAAAAATCATAAAACCAAAGAAACTATATCAATGATATTTCTCACAAAAACAAACGAGGAAAAGTTATTGACATGTGGTGACTCACCACATTCCCACATGAAGAGTGCATAGATAGCAATGCTCGTTCGAGAACATATAGATCGACAGCTTTATCTTCCGGAAGGGTCGACGTGAAGCTCAGACCAAAATCAATTAGTACCTTATGATAAGACAAATAACATAGCAATTGTTGTAATTCACCCGGAAAATAATTTTAGATCAGAAAATCGACCAAAGATTAACAGACAAGCTGATAACTTACGAGCTGATTGGTACCATTGCGGATTAACATATTCGAGGTAGTCAAATCACCATGGATTAGGCCACCATCGTGCATTTTGGCAATAGCATCACCAATCTGAGTAGCAATATCGTTTAACCTCTCCTCCACAATGCCCCTTGACCCGAAATCGAGCAAAACATCTTTCACAGCGGGACCCTCGACGAACTCGAACGTCAAGGCATGCACCAAAGGGTCCACAGCATAGAGCACTGGAGTCGAGACCCCGAGCTTTCTAGCTTTTGTCATGCACCTAGCTTCCTGATCGAGTATTTGTTTTTTTCGAATAAATAAATATGTCGATTGGGAAGAAGAAAAAATTCATGCCTTGTTAAGAAAAATCACTAACCGCATTCAGACGCTTGAGAGTGAGTTTCGAGTCCAGTGATGGGTGCCTGTACTTTTTCGAAAAACGCTCCTTGATGACACACCTCCGACCGACAAAAGTTGACTCAAACACTCTCTGAGGAACAAAAATGAACAATTATAAGATCTTATTGCTAATAATGCTTCTACAATATTACAGGTCGTGGAAAGGATAACGCAACTTACAGCTTCAGCTCCTTGCTTAATCAAAACCATGGACCCTTCTGCACAATCCAACTTGATATCCATGGTAAATGAGTTGAGTAACACGGTAGAGATATAAACTAAAGCTGGAAAAAGGAAAAAAAAAACACAATAAAACACATAAAGCTACCGGAAGTAACACATCAAATAAATGGCTTCTAAATAAATAGCTTACAATTGACAAGGACCACAAAAATTTTATAGTTCTTGAAAAACCTAAACATCCACAAGAAACTTCCAAAATATTAAACAGGACCAATTTCAATGGAAGTTTGGTTTTCTTTCAAGTCCCAATAATAAAACACATCCGAGACTATGGTTTTGTCAATCGGCATGGGCCGAGTCTGAAACACGAACCCACACCCACCTCCTACAGTTCTCGACCCGCGATCCAAGCGGGTTAAAACCCGTCAAAATGCAAACTTTTAGCATTTCAACAGGTAGTGTTTATGATAAATACAAATATGCCTACATAAGCAGGTAAAAATACACAAGAATTAACCAAAATGAATCGGAGAAGCCGGTTGGATTGATAATAGTATAATACCAAATGGGCAATATCAATATGTAACCAACGGGATTGTTCCAAAAAGAACAAACCAAAGCTTTCGATTTGGGGACTAGTTTCCGTGGAATTTTTAGAAAAGGAAAATAAAATCCACTAATACAAAGAGCTCCACTAAAACTATGAAGTGAATCTTCAGAGTTAGGTCGAGCATTTCTAAATGAAAGAGAGCTGCGTTGCCACAGACGAGCCCAACTATTCAACAGTCATAAATAACGAGAAAAGCAAAAACCACAAAGGGAAAAAATCAAGAGAGTGGGAGAAACGGGCAGCTTACCGTTTTCAGAGGTGCGTGTTTTCTAGAGCGCGCCATGGGAGATAACAGTTATCTTGAAGAATAGGAAAAAAAAAAGATGGAAGCTTTGGGCTTTTAGAAATTAGGGTTTTATCAAATCAGAAAATCTTTTTTTATTCAGTTACTTTTATTTTATTCATCAAAATCGAATCAGACGCTGGACATGTCAAAGCAGGCCGGTGGTGGGTGGGGCGGGCCGGTCCGCAGCCCGCCATCTCGGCGTGCCTGTGAAGTGGCAGCCCGGCCCTACCCCACCGAGGGCCCGGGCTACACGGGCCGGCCCGCCTTATAATAGATAATAAAAAAAATACTAAAATTTGGGAGCAAATCAGCAATACCTGCGGACTCATAAGAATAATTAAAAAAATACTAAAAAAATTCACCACATGCTTCAGAAATCAGAAATCGAATTCATAGTCACACACACTTCATTTCAGCCTTCACATTCCGTAACCAAAAATCAATTCATAAATCGTTCAATAATCATAAATCACATTCATTTCAGAATTCAGAATCCAATAAGCCAAAATCCCCAAATCAGTTTAAATCATAAATCACAGTTCATTTTGAGAATTAGGTTCAGCCATCACTACCGAAGAAACTTCCTTGCCGATGTTGCCGTTGCCGCTTAGAGTTGACGTCACGGCTCTGTCGCTCGCCGCTCGAATCTGCCGCTTCCTTGCCGCTCGTCGTCGCCGCTCCAAAATCTCCGCCGCACACTGGTCACCGGTCGGTCTGCAGTGGTCCACAGGATTGCCGGCTGCCGCTTGAGGAAATGAGAGTTGGGGTTAGGGTTAGCAGAGGATAAAGGCGCCCGTCCGTCTCTACTCTCTGTGTTGTAAACTTGTCATGTAAAAAAAAAAACTTTGAAAAAAGAAAGTAAACGAAAATAAGAACGGGCGTTTGATAATAAAAACCAATTATTACTAATACTCATATACAACATGGGTGTTTAGTTAATGAATATATGTATAAAATTATTTATGTTTAATACTAAATCTAATTCTAGAACAAAAATAATATAAAAACATCATCACGAAACATAGATTTTCGTCATGTCAGCATCTGAAGCGTGAGAATCTACCACCTAGGCTCAATACGTTTTGAATTAATATGGATAGGGATATTCTGAAAACTGGACTGGTCATCGAACTGGTGGAACTACTGGTTTAATGGTTCACTGATCGGACCAGTAGTCGAATTGGTCGAACCGATTTAACTAGAATATAATTTTTTTTATCTATTATAAATATATATAATATATAATTATATATATTTTTATCATTAATTTTATAGCATATAATGACATTTTTATGAATAAGGCAAATTGCTCGTCTTCAAATTGCTCGTCTTCAAATTTTGGTTGCTGAATGTTGGGACAAATGGAATGAAATCGAAATAAAAAATGAAAGTAGAAACAAGAGACGAGCTCACCTTACGAATCAGAAGCTTGAACTTCTTCCCAACAATGGCGTCGCTTCTCTCTACACTGCAGCTAGGGCAAATGCCGATTTTTATCTTTTATTTGTAATAAATTTGTAAATTCAACGAAAATAAGGGGTATTTTTGTCCATATTCACCAAAATATGAGGATAAAATAGGTAGGATGAAAACGGCATTAAATTGTCACGTGGGGGAGCCAGGATTTTTTTCTCCAAAATTTGCCGATAAGCGCTTGTCACATGGACGCCAGGTCAGCCAAATCCTATCTCAATCCCGCGGTTAAACGTGAGATAGCCGGGATTATTTTCCTTATCTTGTCTTATCCCTCGAAGTAAACGACCCTAAGTATAATTCACCATAAGCAATACTAATTTATATTCACTAAAACAATAAATTTTTTGTATTGGGAATTTGTGATTTTTTGGTTTCAAAATTTTGGAGGAGTCGACAACACGACTGAGTCTTTTCTCTTTTGTTTGATTTTTTTTCTTTTTTAGTTCATTAAAATATTTCATTTTAATATTGGGCTTGCAAAGAAAAATAAAACGTCTGAAGATAGTTGATAAGTTAGAATGTTTGATTTTGGCCAACAAATTTTACTTACGGGCCTAATAGTAACAGCAAACCCAACAATTTGAATATTAAAATTCCAAACCGCTGAACCGGCCGAACTGGTACCGGTCACTGATTTTACCGGTTTGGCACCGGTTCTTGCTTCCAGCAATTCAAACTCTCAAACCGGACCGATACCATGTCTGGCTGCCGGTTGAACCGGTCGAACCGGTCAGTCCGATCCGGTTTTGACAACATTGATAAAAACTTGAGAGCATGTTTCTATACAAGAAATCCCCAAAAAAAAAAAAAAAATCAACATTTTAACTCATCAACTTTTTTTAACTCAATTTTAACTCAAATCCACTATCATTAACATTATTAATATAATTATATAATATCAATCAATCATTCATACACACCACATTAACCTTAATTCACAATACATCCACTCACATTATTTTAACTAACTATCACATCAAATTTTTAATTATTTTATTTTAAATATTATTCTAACATACCAACTAACAATTAACCATATTATTTTTTTTCAAAATTAACCAAACCAAACCAAAATATCCAACAAAATAAAAAAATTTCATATCAAGCTCTTGTTGTGTTGCGCTGTTATGTGTAATGACTAATGTTTAAAGTGCTACTAGTACCCAAAAAAATAAAGTGCTACTAGTACAACATGAACTACACACGGGTGTTTACTAAAAAAAACTAATTGTCCAATAAAAATTGAAAAATTTTAAAATTCTTATTTTAAAATAAGAAGTTATAAATAATTAATAAAAAATAATTTTATTAAATATTTTTTCGAATTCTAAAAAATATTTTTATGAAGTGTTATTTGGTTTGTTTAATATATATTTATTTTTGTCAAAAATAAATAATTAATTTATTAAGAAGTTAATATAACACCCGTAAACAACATATTTTTATCAGAATAATGAATTAAAAAATATAATACAGTGGTATAAAATTAAAAATACAACTAATAATTAAAAATAATAAAGTCAACTGTTTAAAATAATACTCATGTTTTAGACGCGATTTGTCAAAATATTATTTTTCAACCATGCGCGTGCGCGCATATATGTTATTTACAAGTCAGTAATTTACTTTTCATTTAATTTAATTTTTTTAAGTTGGATTATATTGTAATTATATTTCATATTATACATTTTTCTTTCCTCTTCTAATATTTTTTAAAATATCTTCAACTTTATAATATTCAAATAATTAATAATTTATAATAAGATTTGTATGAGATTAAACTATATGAAATATAAAAATTATTATTCTAATATAATGTTTATTTAGTTTTTTCTTTCCAAAATCATTATAATGGTCACTCTTTATATAGTCTTTATTTAAGTTGAGAAATAAACCCTAAAATATTTTGTATATTAATTTGATGTTCATAGTTTCTTTACATAATTTTTTCCAAATAAAATAATTATTTATGTATATTAATATACATAAATTTTTATTATTTTATAAGATAATTTACAGTTTTATTTGATATTTTTTTAATTTGGTTGGATAAATAAATTAAAATTTTCTTTGTAAGGATATATATTAATGTTTAGTATTTTATATATATAATATAGATGCCCAATCGAAGATCGTTAAAAGATAATTAATTTGATGTATCATATATGATAAATAAAATACAAACAAAAAAATTATATTATTTTTAAAAAAAGAATAAAAAATTCAAATCACAATAAAACTTAAGAACATTTTCACATATATCTGTACTAAATAAGTTAAATACCTTAATTTGTAAGATTTTTTAAAACCTCAAATGAATTTTTGAATACTTTTAAAAGTCATAAAAAGAAACTAATTTAGATTCACTAAAATTTATAAAATCTCAAAATAATTTAAAACTTCCAAACGAATAAATACTCTGGATTCAAATATTAAACTTTTAATTAAATACACCAAGATATAAATTAAAAAAAAATGTCCAAACGAATATAAATATACTTTGGATTCGTATATTAAAATTAAAAATTTCCCTCATACTCGACTATTATGGTTCAAAAAAATAAATAAATAAATAAATAAAAAAATCGTCATACGTATTAAAACGACGTCGTCCAGACCGAGACACCGATTGAAGAACTGCGTGGTCTGATTTATTTGCCCAGTATCTCTCCAGAGAGCGAAACCCTAGCTTCCCCAAATTGGGAAATTCAGTGAACTCTTCTGGGAAAAAAGCCACTACTGAGCATAACAGTGGAACAATGAAGAGGGGACTGAAATGGAGCGACGGCGAGGATGGTGATACGTCGTCGTCCGGCGATTCTTCAGCTCACGATTCCGATGCAGAAGATGGAAATGGGAGCTCGAAAACCCAATCCTCAAAGTTCAAAGCTTCTCAAGGTACCTCTACCTCCGATTTAGAAGAACTTAGTTTTGAATTTGATTCGTATCGGTATCTTTAAATTTTGAAAAATCCTATTGAAATAATATTTTTTCTGGTGAAATTATTTTCCTCGACTGATTGATGGGTGAACAGGGCTCACTTTGTGATGTAGGGAAGCGTGAACGAAAGGGAAAAAGATACGAGTAAACGAGATACTCTCCCGTAAAACAACGATATCAATTTTATTTCATTCTCATCAGTTTGTGCAAAATTTAGACGATTTCTGTTGAATTTCACGAAAAAAGAAGATGTGTCGATGATATCCGGAGAAAAAAATAATATCATTATTGATCAATATGAAAATAAAACAAATCAAGAATGAGCAAATTGAAGGAAAAAAAAAAAGAGAGAAAAAGCGTCTTCTTCTTTTTCTCCTTATATTTTAAATGTGTCGAAAATTATAATCCTCTTGAAGTAATATTTTTTTTGTTTGGTTAGATTATATTCTTCGAATGATTGATAGTCAAACAGGGCTATCTTTACTTGATCAATCTATAAATTGTTATGATTTCCTTTGAATTGTACGAAAAATGAAGATGCCTTGTCATATGTTGAAAAAGTTCGTTCTTGAATGAACAAGTTTAGTAAATTAAACACAATAACAAAGAAGCATAAATTAACCCTTTTTTTATTTTCCTCTTATTTAAAATGTGTTGAAAACACTAATCCTGCATCTTCTTGGCGACAGTAGATTATGCGAAGAAGAAAAAAGGCATAGACTTTGAAGCCTTGAGCCGGCACGGGTACAAAGGAGGACTATCGGTCTTGAAAGTGCCGGCACCAAAGGAACCCGAGAAGGAGCAAAACTGGTCTTGGTCCACAGGGAAAGACAAACAGCAGCAAAAGGGAGGAGAAAAAGAAGAAGAAGAAGAATCTTACGAGGAACGAATGAAAACGAGAGCCGCCTTAGCCAGTGGAGAGCGCCTTTTGAATGTTCAGACTCGAAGTGAACGAAGTAATGCTAACAATTTGTCATTTCAACAGAAGGAGAAAAGAAAACGGGACCTGGGCCAAGCTAGCAGGGGCAAGAGTTATGTCGAGGAGGAAAAAAGATTGCTGAGGGAAAGCGGTATATACTCTGGTTTCGATTCTTGATCTGTGTTCTCTGGTTTCGAATCTTGATCTATATGTTGATTTGTATTCATACAAGATTTTGTGCTGATGTAGTTGCATTTCTTTGAGATGTCAAGTTGTTTTTGAAATTGCAAAATTATTACTTTGGCTCAGGATGATTTATATTTTTTAGGTTGGGGGTATTCTTATTTTACTTGGTATTTTGCTGAAATGTGTTATGGGGATGCATAAAATTCGGTTCTTGGTAGGTAATTGTTTGGCATAACCTGTATATTGAAGGTTGTCAAAATTGTGAACTCGAAAACATAGCAACGATTCAAATTTCAAAAGGAAAAGAAGCACGAGCATGAATGGGAGTTTCGTAGAAAAAACCAGCACTACATAAATATCACGTACAAGACAGACGAAAAAAAAAAAAAAACTTGTTGGTAGCAAATATGATACAAGTGAGTTCTCAACAAGTTCGTCCGAAGGAATTTCTCAGCTAATGGAGTCGGATCTTGATTTCTCCTTATGGAATTGCAGCACGAACGAGCCTCAAAATCTAGTGGTGAGGGTTTTGCAAATTGATCTGATAGTTTGAGGAGTTGTTCTGCAGCAACCTCCAACGAGAGATGCCCCTGCCTCACACCATTTGTTCACGTACGAAACAAAATCTTTGTCTGAAACTCCCGTGTTTTGCTGTCACAAACACAAAAAGAGGGGAAAATTGAGTTTAACTAAATAAAAAAAAAAGGAAAGAAAGAAAGAAAAAGCTAAAGAACTCACCACCCACTCCTTCAGATCAGCATCATAACTCTCTCCACTGTTTGGGTAAATGAGTATCGGTTTATTCGTCACCTGTTGTAAAAATCAAGTCAAAGTGAAAAAACTCGAATTGCTTTACCAGAGTTTGTCCAGAATTCACATTTGTGAAATACATTAAAGTTGAGTAAGTACTGTTAAGGTGGTGTTTTAACGAGCTGCATCTTATAACAATTAAACGAGCAATCAATTTTGGCAGTTCTTCGCCTTTTTCGGGCCTTTTGTCATTATCAACCTACGTTGAAGTACAAAAATACTATATATGTCAGTCTCATAAACATAAACCTTACCTTCTTAATCGATAAAATAAGATCCATGATAAATCTTGGTGGCGTACAGTTAATCCCGACAGCAACAATTTTGTTGGATGACTCAGCAATGGCAGCGCAGTCGAGCAAAGAATCACCGCTAACAACGTTAACACCATCTTTCGAGTTGAATGACAGCCATGCGGGAATATCAATCTCGTTTTCCTCGAGAAGCTCAGCAAAAGCCTTTGTCGAATATCAATCATCAGTGATAAATAACACAACTCCATTTCTTTAGCTAGATTTCAATGTTTATTTAAGTGCTAACACCACTTGTGATGAAATCCAAGAAATATTCCACATTTTTTGAAAAAAAAAATGAAAAAAGAAAAAGAAAAAGGAAATACATCTGTACCTGCGCTTCAAGCTTGTTGGGCACAGTTTCAAATGCGATAAGATCGGGACCAGTATCTGCAAGAACCTTGACCCTCCTTCTATGGAAGTTCTTCAAGAACTCAAGATCCATAGCATCTCCATAATCACCACTGCATATTAGAATGTATATACTATACATAAATTAGACAGAGTAAGCAAAATCTAAAACACTGGTAGTTTACGGGCTTAAAAGACAGGTGCAGTTTACGGACTTAAAAGACTTATAAGAACTTTTCACAAGGAGAGAAGGAAGAAGAAAAAAAAAAAGAATTGTATTTCGGGTAGGAAAGAGGGATATTGTACAAATTCACCTATATTCTGAACCATCGGCTAGGTAAGCCCCGTAACTCCCCACAGATGCAGCAACTAATATCATCCGTTGATTGAGAATTCTATCATTTTCGGGAGATTGATCAGTAAGAGCCTCAAGGCATCGGCTGACGTAAATTTCTCGTGCCTCAAGTGCGATTTCAACACTCTTTCTCAGCAAGTTCTCACTTTCCTCCAGAGAATATCCTTTGTTCTTGAACCCCTGTATGGTCGCCTGTGTAATTATGTAAATTTCAGTTTCACCCATATAATATATACACTGGCATCTCGAGCAAGAGGCCCTTATGTGTAAAATGATGGAATATAGAGTACCTGATAGGAAGCTGTGATTATTATGTCTGCACCTGCTTCAAGGTAATCAAGGTGTACCTGAAATTGCTCGATGCAATAAAATCCGTAAGAAAAAAAAAGCTAGCTGAAATGCTATAATATGAGTCATCACATGCTTCTCAAGAACATTTATACACAAATACAAAATAAAGTAATGAATACATTTTTCGCCGATACATTTTGATCGATAACTGGTCAAACCAAAAACCTGCATATTATATTATCTCAAAGCCTTGGTGTTTAATTCATTCGATGCTGGTAAATGACTGGGAATGCTATAGATGCCATGACTGTTCGGAAAACTATCATCTCAAATATTTCAAACTTTGCCTTTGCAGAGTAACTGTAAATATATAAACCTCTCACAAAACACTGAAACAAATACCAAGTATAAGATATACTAAGCTTGTCGACTAACTGTCTCATATTAAGCTCATAGATAAGCACCTTAGCCCTCGAGCGAAATGCGAACCGATAAAGATGGCTCATATTAAGCTCATTGATTGTTCTGTTCCAACATTAAATACCCACATAAACTCACAGCCAAAATCTGAACTACAAAAATTCACAACTTCACAGAAACAAAATTCACAGAGGCTGACCAACCAAAAGAACATATTTTTCTCCGACCCAAGTTTATCAATAATGTAGGATTACACGAAAAATTACCAGTTTAGCTGAACTAATTAGTAATTACATTACATCACATAGCAAGCTCGAAAAAAGATTCAAGCTTTAGATAACGCGAAAACCCATAAAACTATTAAATGTATTCACGATCCCAAGTCGATAATTTCAAAGCGAGTGTTGCAAATGTATCAGACTATCAAATAGAAAAGGGGGTAAATGGAAATGCACAAAAAAAATGAAGAAAAAAAGAAGAAAGGCTTACGGCGCGAATGAGGTGAGGGGAGGAGAGGAGACATTTGGCGCTCCAAAGAGGGTCGTGAAGATCGGCCCCGTGGCGTTCGAGCTCCGTCGCGAGTCCGCCGTCGATCACGGCGACGCCGCCGCATTGGCGGAGGAAATCTGACATGGTCGTCACGACGCGACCCATTCTCCTGGACAACAATGCAAAACCTCTGTTATTTTTTTCAAGGTTTGGTGAGTTTACGGTGGAGAAGATAATGAAGTGAGATGGTATATGTATACTTTACCATCCTCTCAAGTTATTTATAGAACAATCTTTCTCAATAGTTTACCCACTTTTCTTTTTCTTCTCTACATTTTTTCACAAAAACGCTAATTGGTGAATTTTTTTCAAATTAGAATATACTAATACAGTATTATGGCCTAAAACCAGGCCGGGTCACCGGGTTGGGTTTCGACGAATCCTGAACTGGCACGGACCTAGGGTTGTGCCGGGTCCATGACCCGGCGGGCCGGGCCGGGTTTGGACCCGACCATATAAAAAAGATTAAAAACAGGAAAAATTCAAAAGCAATGTATTTTTCCGTGCTGGCCAGGCCCGGCCCGCCGGGTCAAGGTCGAAAAAAACATGACCCTTGACCGGCCCGTTTGAAATCCGTGACGGACTCGGACCCGTGGTCAACGGGTTTGACCGGATCGGGTGACCCGTGGCCATGTCTACTAATACTTATGATATTAGATATCGTACTAGGTAGAGCAAACTCGTTAAACTGGTTGGTCGAACATAACCACATAAAGGTCGAGCGGAGGTTGAATGCCAATGTAGAATGAGGAGCCTTCAGAACGAAAAAGGCCTGAGGGATTCGAGGGATCAATGATAGGTCGAGCTAGGGTTCTCAGAAGGCCTGTTGGAAACTCGACCTTAAAGTATGGTTGGTTTTGTGATCGACCAGGAAGATAACACTTAGGCTCGAAATATGTAGCATTCTACCTCAGCAGGTTTCAGGCTGGTCACAATGTTAAACGGTTTAATGAGAAAGACTAATAGATAAGAAAGAATATTGATAGGATAAGGTTCACATGTGGATAAGACCACGTGGCCTACCAGAATTGGGCAAATCGGGCAGCCGGGCAGTCTTGGCAACAATGTATCATCTCCTTGTGTAAGGGAGTGATATATGTTCATTATCATATTACATTCTCTATCTTCTCTACATGCATACAACACTTTCTACAAGTGTAATGTAAGTCCAACGCTCCGATCGGCTAAGAATCGGCTCGCCTTTGTTGTCATCGCCAATTCTTAGCCGGTCGGGACGTTGGACTTGCATTAAAGTGCTTCAACATCAGAATCTCCTCCGATGTAAGATTTTTGCAGGTCTAAAGGACGTTCAACCGGCGAGGAACTCAGACGAGGCCTAGTACCAGCCGGTCGGAGGTCTTTTGTGTACCAAATATATATCACAAATTTCTTTACTAACAACCTAATTGGTAAGCGGATAAACATTCACATCTATTAAAATATGTTGAGCCTATAAATGACGGACCTCGATATATTAATTCAAAACTTGTTAAGTGTAAATGGCAGGCCGCACGCCTCGTATATGGACACCACAAAAAGTTATGCTTCAAAAACATGGTTTGTCTATACATTTTTGTTTTAAAATTAAGCTTGCTATTAGTCATAAATATATATTTTTTCGAACTTGGTAACTTACATTTAATTATGCTCTTTTTGTTTCCTCTTCATACACATTTTCTTTTTAGTTTGGTCAAGTAGCAATCTCACCATCTTAAAAGTTCATCTCATATTTCTCTTATAAATCACATTTAAACATCACTTTATTCCCCACCTATTCCTCTTTCTCTTCTCGAATTTTAGAAGAAATTCCATAAATCTCAAGATTTTTTTTTTTTTTTTTTTTAATAGAATTACTCTTGTTTTCCATCAATTAATCACCAATTATTTTTTTTTATAAATATATATATATATATATTTTTATACATGATAACTCAATTTTAAATGTATTTTTATCTAATTGCTTAATCACATAAAGTTCAAATGCTGAAAGCATTAAGCATAGATTAATTAATTATGTTCGAAATTTCAAAAGATGGAGGTTTGCTTTTCATTGTCCAAGTTCATTGAATTTGCAATTTAATGGATATCTAATACTCCTTTCTATTTTTATTTAAATGTCATTCTAGTTTTATGAACTATTAACTAAATAAATGTCGATTATAGGGTTGGGATTTTCGAACCGGGAACCGGAAAACCGGTCCGGACCGAACCGAAATAAGCCGGTTCGTTCCGGTTATTCATGTGAATGGTAGGTTTTTTCCGATTCGGTTTTTTATCTTCCGTTTTCGGTTCCGGTTTTCGGTTTTTACTTCACAATAACTAAAAAAACCGAGGAACCGGTTGTTTATATATTATTATTATTAAACCTATACTTAGTTGTCTACTATGGTAATAAAACTAACCTTAGTTAGTTTATTTTGTGCAAATAATTAGTGAAATTAACCTTAGTTCATTCATTTTGCAATTTTTTTTTTCCTCTCTCAAAATCGAAGCCCTTTTTCTTTCTTCCCGTCGAGCCCCAAATCACAAATCGCCAAAATCATATAATCGAAGAACAGAGTTGAGATTGCATCAATTTCGATTCAATTTCGATGTCCAAGCCCTAAATTAATCCTAAAATCCATCATAAATCCCTTTTCCTTTGAAACCCTAAATCGAATTGAGTTTTGATTTTGAGCTTCAAAATTGAAGTTCTGAACCGTAAAACTCCCTCTTCTTTCATTTCTTTGATTCTCAATTGCTCATGGCTTCAGAATCTGAAAAAAGTAGCCACAGTCAAAGCTCAAACCCATCTAAAGATGTTGGTAACTCAAAAGGGAAGAAGCGGAACCCTAATTCGAAGAACCCACAGCCACAGAAGAAAAGAAGATTACGGGAGGCTTCAGAAGGAAAGAAGAAGAGGTCATGGGTGTGGAGCCACTTTAAAATTGTCCATAAGCCACTTATGGTTGCAAATGAAGAGGGTGTGAAGGTGGAAGTTGGAAAAACTACCCGGGCTGAATGTAAGTATTGTGAATCTGATCTAGCTTGCAACTCAACTAGGAATGGGACTAGTACTCTCCAAAAACACCTTGAATTGCATTGTGATAGTTATCCAGGTAGTGCTAGAAACGTAAGAGAGGGTCAGAAACATTTTGCAGTGGATTTAGAGGGTAAAGATGTTGTTGTTACACATTGGACACAAGAAAATTGCACTAATGCTGCTGTTGAAATGATTGTGATTGATGAAATGCCATTTTCTGCAATTGAAAAGAGTGGTTTTAGGAGATTTTGTGCTGTAGCTGTTCCTAAGTGGCAAATTCCTTGTAGGAAAGTTGTGGTTAAGTCTTTCTTAAGTATGTACAATGCTAAGAAAGAAACTTTAAAAACTGAACTTAAGAATCATTGTGTTAGTTTGACAACTGACACATGGACTTCAATTCAAAACATCAATTATATGGTGCTAACAGCCCATTTAATTGATGCTAATTGGACTATGCATAAGAGGATTCTTAATTTCTGTGTCATTCCAAATCATCAAGGGATAACAATAGGAAAGCTTCTTGAAAATTGTTTGCAAGAGTGGTCAATTAGGAAAGTTTTGACCATTTCAGTTGATAATGCATCTGCCAACAAGGTTGCACTGGATTATATGAAAAGAAAGCTTAACAATGGTGATAAACAGCTTGTTGTAGGGGGAAAATATCTCCATGTAAGATGTTTGGCTCATGTGGTGAATCTGATTGTTAAATCTGGATTAAATTGTATGGATAATTCAGTGGCTTCTATTAGGAATGCAGTAAAGTATGTTAGAAGTTCACCTGCTAGACTTCAAGAATTTAAAGAATGTGTAAAAAAAGAAGAGTTGGATAGCAAAAAGGTTTGTGTGTTAGATGTGCCAACAAGGTGGAATTCTACCTTCATAATGCTGGAAACAGCATATGAGTTGAAGTTGGCATTTGATAGGCTAGCAGAGGAGGACAGTAAATATAAGGGTTACTTTGATGAAGATGAAGATGATGAAAATGATGAGGATGATGTGACTGATTTGATATTTGGTACTGAGGGGGCAGAGGGTGAGAAAAGAAAAAGAAAAAACAGAGGGAAAAAGAGGGCTGGGCCACCAAATGAAGAAGACTGGTATAGGGCTGAGGCTTTTATTAAGTTCTTGAAAGTATTCTTTGATGTCACTCTTAATGTTAGTTGCACTAACACACCAACTGCACATAAGGCATTTAGTGAGATTGTGACAATCAAGTGTGAAATTGATGATCTATTTGCTGCACCAGTGACAAATCAAAGTACTGATTATGAGAAGACTTTGTTTACTATGTATGTGGAAATGAGGAGGAAGTATAGGAAGTACTTTGATACTATAGATGATGTGAACAAACTTCTTCTTGTAGCTTTGGTGTTGGACCCTAGATATAAACTGAGATACTTCTC